TGTTGCTCTTGTGGCAAATTTTCCCAGGTTCAGCAGATCTTGAGAATAATTATAAAATAATATAGAAATTATTAGCAGGGGAAAAAAAATTGTATATCAAAATAATTTTTCTTAAAATTAAGGTTTTTATAAACTCATCCCTCTATTTTTTAAATAATGATCACACTTTGCTGTGCCATCCACACGTGAAGGATTCCTGCAGATTAGCCTTCTAACATGTCCCTCTTTTTTCAGCTGTGTGAAGCTATTCTTTCTCGTAAGGTCCTCAGCTTCACTGGACTGGTCACATTGGTGACCCCCAGCATTCATGCTGACAAACCTCTAACCATCAAATCATCTTCCCTAGGCTGTTTATTTACATCTCTAACATAGAAGTTGGTCAGAATCTTCTACATATCACTCCTCTTCTGCTTCCATTTTCAGTTGTTTCTCTGCCAAATCGTGAAAGGTAAAGCTTTTTAAAAGTTCCTACTACCTTCCTTGCTTTAGCAGATACTTATCAATTGTCCACTGCTTTGTTAAGTCTGAGTATTTCAGCCTATATATATTTTGGTTGTGTTACTTTGTATGCTAACGTGACATGACACAACAAGATGCTTTGTTCTAAAGAGAAAAGATCTCTGAGATCTCTGTGCATTTCACGATACGTCAGAAACAAATATTATAGAAATCAGTCTCAGCCTACTCTGATTAAACGAAAAAGATAGTCTACCTGACTTCCTGATACTCTAATTCCTTAAAAACATACTGCTCCAGGGAACACTTGACTTCTGGTAAGTGAAGTCTTCCCCACCCTTGCAGGATCATACTTCACATTTGTTCCTATTTAAATTAAAAAGCTACACAGGAACATGAAACTATCTTAAGCAAAAATGAACAAGTCTGGTCTAAGGAATCCATCCTTTATTTATTATCTTTGGAGGAGGAGGATTTCAATTAACACTTTAACTTTCCTGATTTCCCTTAGGGCTGATAAGAATAGAAAAGAAACATGTATTTTCAAAGATCAGGAATTTAATTATTATTACTAAAAAAATAAAACTAAATTATTCAAAAAAACATCTAACTGGCTGATTTTGTTCCAGTTATGAAGTAAGTGATGGGTTTTGCCATTTTTTATAACTTTTCCACAGGTTTTACTAGTTATTAGAGACTTACATTTTTTATTTTAAAAATTTTAACTTGTCCACTACTAGATCATTATGTTGTGCAGGAAATGAGAACTCACAAATCAGAACATGGCAGAAGTAAGAGTACTGATGCAACATTACATTTATCTGCTTAAGAAATTTATATATCCTTCTACCCAAAATCTCAAAGAAAACCCCTGGCTAAGGTAAAGCCTCCTGCTTGCAAGACACCATGCACAGTATAAATACAGTTCTTTCTCCCCTTGCAGCTGTTTGCATCTGTCACTTCTCCACCTTGGGTCACATACATATGCATCATACAAATAAAAGCCATAACTTTTATAAATTTTATAAATTTTACAAATTGAAGGGCATGGAAGCAGTGCTGTATTTCCTAAGCTGAACACAGCGATTTGCAACTAAAATTGTTATGCAGGGTTACATACAATCAGGTGCCTGTATCTGCCAAAATCAGACTATGCCTGATAATTTATTACAGCCAAGTATTCTACATAATGACACGTAAGTCAGAGTAGTGAGGCCTTTTAAGATCAAGACATCATTTTGGCCCACTGCTGTGGGCTCTGAACTGCTGAGTAATTACAATATGGACTTTAAACATTTTTAGTTATGTTATGTCCAGTACAGCAGACAGAATGTATCCTGAGTTAAAAGTGGCAGAAATCTTATAAAATGTTAAAATCAGCATCATTTTCTAGAGCAGAAGGAGTAGATATTTCATAAACTGGTCTTCTGATCCTGTTGTATTGGAGCAATTTTCATCTGAAGTAGAAGAACATAGAAGAGCTTTCCCTTCCCTGTTGCACCTCTACTTACTTGCCTCATGAAAAAAAGGCCTTTCAGCATGAAACAACAATGCTTCTCAAATTGCTTGCATTCCCCAAATAAAAAAGTGAAAATATAGGACATCTGAACATCTTTTTTTAACTTGCTAGCATATATGCAGACATTGAAAAAAAAAAAAAAACAAACGGTTGCTTTTACCACTGATGTTAAAACTGATGCTAACTGAAAAAGTCTGAGATTATTTTAAGGAAATATTTTCATAAAACTATATTATTGTTTCAGTATGGTTAAAAAAATATTCAAAATTAACCATGAGAAAAACTAACAGTATCCAGTACCTCACCAACAAGTGTTGAAGAATGTTTTTTTTAATGATCTCCCAAAGCCATTATGAAGACAACAGAATGCATGCAATTCTTGAGCAACAAAATGCAAAAGGTTTCAACAGCACTACTATAAACTGAGAAGTTAACAACTATGATGCCAAAAATCTTGACATCATCATAGTTAAGTCAGAAAGTAACATATATCTGAAAAAGATCTGTTTAGAATATGTCTGTTGCAGGCAATAAAGATGTGAGCATGAAAACTAAATTGAGATCCAGCACACAAAAATGAAATGTATCTCAATGAAATGCATGTGAACAACCTGGCTGAATGTCTTCAAAATCTGTGCTGGACTTTTGGTGCCAAATGTAAAGAGGATTTACTGTAACACAGATATATTTCAAGATAATATTGTAAACTAGTCTTTTGTATTTGTACATAAAATTAATTGAAGTAGATTCAAAAGGGTGTGTATTTTTCCCCAAATCATTACTATCATTTTTTTTTTTCCATTTGAGTAAGAAACGGAAAACGTTTTCTAAGGAAATGACTTAATTTGGTAAAGATCATACAAAAGCATTTTTTCATATTTTAATAGCACTAAATTTCTAGTTCTAAATAAATTTAAAACAGCAATAAAAGGAGAAACAGCTCTAGTCTACTCTGCACAGATTGCTACCAGACAAGAAGAGACAAAAGAGATGGCAAACCTGTAAGGATCAGAGAACTGACCTTAAACTGAATTTTACAACTTTGTGGTCGATATACTCAGTGATCTTATGTTCATGGAAGAGAACACTTCTGGAAGTAAACACTCTAAACCTACCTATTCGCATCAGACGATGTATTTAAATAGAGATGGAGTTTAAAAGCAGTATTCCACACTACCCACAATGTAACTGAAAAGCCTTTTACCTGAAGCAATAATTCAAATGGACAGTTTCTCTCTAAGGAATACGTTTGACTGTTGTTTCTCCCTACACTGTTGTTGCAAAAAGGTCACAACTTTATAAAATACACAGGAGTGGAATCATGATCTCATGCTGAGTCAGTCAAAATGAATGCCATTCCCAGCTTTGTGAATGACTGGCAACATTAGTAACAAAATTATTTTCTCTTTTTGTTCATCTGTACAATGATACTTGCCTTCACCAGGTTGTTGTGGGAATTAATTATGGATATGTTAATATTTAGGAAGCATCATAAACTGCATCCATTCCTACAAAAATCTGTCCTACAGTAGCTTGACTGTTTTTCAGGACAATTATCTATCTTTTTTTTATTTGTTTATACAGTTCTTGAAACAATAGGGTCTTAATCCTTGACTTGGACAGCTAGACACCATTGAAACATAAATAATTAGAAAACAATATGAGTTGAGAGGTTTTAGCGAAGTGTTATACTTCCCAGGGCTCCAAGGCACAGAGCATTTAAATGCCCAGAATTTAGCCAAAGCAAAGGGAACTGGGGACAAGGAACTATAGCTTTGGTTGCTTCTAACAACTTTGGTGGCTTGTTCTTGAAAGAGTAGGGATACAAAAAAGAAGGCTGATGGAATACATCTGTGAGAAAAGAATCCTACTTAGAGGAGCATAGGGACTGCAAATATAGTTGTCTTTTGAGTGAGGCATTTAGGGCAAGAGCTTTTTATGTATTTGCCAGCTCTACTGCATCTGAAAATTACGAGCAAACACAGTAGAAAAAATGGGGGGTTGTTTGGGGGGGAGGGGGGGTGTTCTGTGCACATCTAGGCTGCCTTTATCATGGGTATATCCATTACATTCAAGGTGGAGTCTCCAGAAGTATTAGCTATGTGTCATGATATACACCAAGAACATCTCCCTGCTTCCTATCAGAAGTAAAAAGGTTGGAGCCACTCCAATCACTCGAGTAGCTCCTAATTTTGGTCCTTCATCTACAGCATCTAATAGCTTCAAGTACCAAGCATAAAGGGTATGACATGGAGTCTGTGCCAACATTTCTCAGTAGAACAATTACTGAACAATTAAATAACAGTTTCTTCTTCATTGCCTGTCCTCACATTTGTTCTGTTGTTGCTGACTTCTAAGCTTTGTACTCTCTGAAAGTGAGTATCAGAAATTTGGACTTGTTTAGAAATGAAAGACTGATGGGAAGTATGACTGCGAGCATTAATGTGAAAAGTAATTCCTTCCAAGTGACAAATGAAGAAATGCTCTGCTTCCAGTCAGTCTGGAAGATACCTGGAGGACAAGCAATTTCCACAAGGTGATGAATGAAAAGGAAGTAGAATGCTGAGACGAAAGGCTGGAGTGTTTCCAGTAAAATGTGAATGAAGGGTGCGGCAAATGAAAGCAGTCTTCAGGGCAGAAAAAGGCAAAAGAGTCGGGTTTAATACACCACCTACCATTTTTATTTTCCTAAATATAGGTGAAATTAAAGTAATATATTGGGAAAAAAATGGAGAATTGCAATAGAGACTATGTAAACATTATTTTCAACCATTAATCAGACTATGTAGAATACATATGCAAAAAGAAACAAATTAAACTGCCCTCTTGTATTTGGCAATTTGATATGAACAAACTTGAATAGATTGGAATAATAAGGATTTTTCAAAAGACTGAGAAGTAATATGCATATAGTTTAATGTGATCTGAAACAGATGCTGAATCTCTGTTTTTGAAAAAAGAGAGATAAAGTTATCTTTCTTTTTAACTAAATTGAAAAAATATTTAGGAAGTCCTAATATCTTACCTGTTGATATGCTTCATAGATTATATCAAACAAGAAAGCTTGAGGCATTTCACTCGCTCTGTACCTGGCACGTTCCAGTGAGTGGTCTAAACAGCCATCTGCAGAAGAGGCAATAACAGTAGAAACTAGAGGACGAATTGCTCCTGCTGCCTGTGGAACAAAACACCAAGAGAAACCTCAATGTTATGAATATTAATGTATATGACATAGCTTTAGTTAAAAAAAAAAAAAAAGCTTTAAAATCCGTTTTTTACCTTCTTTATCTTCCTATATCTCATAAAGAATAAGTCATACCACCTAGTCTGTATGAGACTTTCAACACTAACATAGCAACGGAAGAGTGTATAAGTACACATGGAGGGACAAATTTACAAAACAAAATCTTAAGCCCTTCATAAACGTCTACTGCAGATACATGTACAGATCTGAAATGTTCATTTTTCAGACTTTCTTCAGAAGATTTTCTGAGGCTTCACGAATTTTGACACAGTAAAGAATAGGTCCCTTATCACATAACAGCACTGCTATTAATGATTTTATTTATCTCTGTTGGCAAATCCTGCCCTCATACATGAGTCCTGCTCATTCTTAGAAGATTTCTGACCTCAGATAAGCATACAGTGGTAGAACAAGAAAAAAAAAAGTGAGTACAGAAGAAAAGAACTAGTTGTCTTCCCTCCCCCTTTCACACTACTCAACAATAAAACAAAGGGGAATGCAGTCAGAGTGTTGAGCCCTTTATGAGCTCTAAATCACAGCTCCTTAGTTCATTCTTTTACAGAATAAGAACAGACATGTGAACCAGTTTCTCATGCCCAAAGAGTTCTGATATGCATGAGCTACCAGAGCAGAGTGAAGGGAGAGAAAAGATTCAAGAGATTCATGTGACAGGAGAAATATCTGAACTGCTTTCTCAAAATCTGAAAAGCACTTTTACTTTCTAATACATGGAAAGAGATATCTCCATAAAACACTACACAGAGCAAAACACTATCATCCAAAGGCAAAACGTGGTACAGAAAGACCAGTAAAACTATGAAATCACAAAACTGTCTCTCAAGAGGTAATCTAGTTCTTCTTTCTGACCCAGGCGGTATCAATTTTACTTCTATAATAGAAAAGACAAACTGAGAAAACTAACCACCACTATAATTTTAGTAATACGTCAATGTATTAAATGAGGTGTAAATTTAACAGATGTACTTAGAGCAAAAGCTGTGCATAGCAGAAGTAGAGAGACTAAATTATCTGCAACTTGTCCTCTATTTCCTACGATTCAAGGACATGGATTATTACATCTATATCCCAGCTGCTGGGCATTTGGACTATGTTATTTTGCTCCGTCGTCATATTTTAATTGGTCACACACACTCACAAAAATTGTAAAATCAGAAGGTCATGGGAAAAGAGAGAGAGCAGCATGCTAGCCACAGCTTTTCTGTAATTAGCTGTATATTTGAATTTATTTTTTTTCTGAAAAAGTTACCATTCCAGAAAACCAGTTGGCAAAAGAGAATTCCTTAGGCTGATCCAATATTTTATTACAGTTTTTAACAATCATGTCATGTTACATTTTAAGCATAAAACAGGCTGGAAGAATACAATGTGACTTGCGTAACCAAATCTCACAAGTGAAACATCCAGTCTGAGGAACAAAAAACCAAAATGCAATTCTAAATAAAATTGAATACTAAAAATTGTATTCTTAAAAGAACTCAGAAACACATTGTTTTCTTGCCATCTGGTTTATTGCACAATAAAAATTTATGAATGTCTATATCAGTTTCTTTGTGTCAATACTAAACCACAACTCCTGCTCTGCTGAGGGCTAGCTCTTCCAAAAATTTAGAAAACTAAATCCAAATGCAACATTTTTTTTAAACCCCTCAATTAACTTCTCAAGTAATTGAAAGCTTCACATCACATAAAATTTTAAAAAATGCACTTTTCAAACAACTATAGTTTGGTTTCACATTACAACAAAACTGAGTCCAGTATGGCAGGCTCAGTTTCTCACTTGTCTTCCTACCATTTCAATGAGAAACCAGAAGTTGGGTACAATACGATTTCTTCTGCAGCAGAAGTGACTGAAAACATGAAATTAAATACAAATAATAAGATTCATGCCTGACTTTTGGACATGCAAGGGACAGAAATTCTATGTATGCAGTAACAGGATAATTAGCAGTCATTTGATTTTAAAAAAGAAAAAAAAAAGGGTTTTATTCCAAAAAAGGACAATTCAGTCCATGACTGAAAGCAGAATGGAGAGCTTTAGTGCTTAGTAAAGCCAAAAAGTTTCTACTGCACATAAAACCTTCATATGATGAGCAGCTGTTATCCAAAAGCCCCCAGTCCATAAGCTAGAGCATACCTGCTAAGGTGCAGCACCGAGTCAAAACCTTAAAATCTTGAGACAAGATACAGAAATTGGTTGTTTTGCTCTTTCTCTGTCTCAGTGCACACCCACATAGGCTCCCTCAACCAGATGATGTGGCTGTGTCTACCACCTCAGTGACATGTGAACTACATTGGCTCCTAAGGCTACTTTCAGACTGGGTGGAACTGGGATCAAGCAAGGGAAAATACTGGCCTGTGTATGCCCTGCACTGTTTTCATATGTCACAAGAGAGCTGAGTCCCTAACACAGGGAACCTTCCCTCTGCAGCACTGCTGGTACATGCCAACACAGCTGCCAAACCCACACTGGCTTACACAGACCTTGCCGCACGTGCTTCTGCTTCCAAAACTGGCTCATGGATATCTTCATTCATGGTGTAAGCATAAGACTTGGCATGTAAAAACAGAAGAATTGAGTTTTGTGAGTTTTGTTCCTGTATAAAGGCCAAAGAGGGGCATAGTTTAACATGTATGTCTCGTTCTGTGGTATTTCCTTCTGGTTAGTGCAAGCCTCCTCCCCACTCTGAAAAGCACAAAGCCTTTTCTGGATTCCACTCCCAGCAGCCTTGCAATGAATTAAACAGGGAATTTTTTTTTTTTAGGAGCTTAAGACAGGGCTACAGACTTTTTTTAGTTCAGAAACTTAAAGATTAGGGCACAGTAGGGACAATAATTCATTAAGGCACTATTGGGTCTTACACTGACATTTTCCTACTCAGAGGTCTCCTCTTCCAATTTCTAATCATTTTGACCCAGATCTCAAGCAGGTTTGCTTTCAAAATCATATACAAAATGCATCATACACCCTTCCTGAATGTGGATAGTCAATCTGAATTTCTTTAAATGTCCACTTTACAGCCTTCAAGCCACTCCACTCCAAAGACAGTTAAGCACTAATTTTTGTGAACCTGGCACATCCAGGAAATGCATACACTTCTTTCCCCCAGTTTTGCATATTTTGGTAAATAAATCAGTTAAAGTATCAAAATATCAGTGGGCAAGCTCTTAAAATATTCCTTGATAGCACAGCAGGCATTAAAGAGAATACTGCTAACCAGTTAGTTTTCCTTTGCAAACAAAATACTGCAAGAAAAAAATATACTTTTAATCTATAACTTCCTTAAAACAATCCTAAAATGTTGTAAGAATACAGAATCCCATCAAACTTCAGGGGAAGTGACAGACTCATATCACTCAGAAGCAAGCTCACCCATCCATCTGCTGAAACTGAACCTGCCTCCAGATGCTTTCAGAAACAATAAGTGTCTTTTATGACCTATTTTTAAACAGCACAAATCAAAAACATTAAAAAACAAGTTCTGTTTTGTATTCAGTTTTTTGCCTAGACCACAGTATGCATTTAAGATTTAAGGATTTAATGGTGACTTGAAAAAGGTAGAGAATGAAGTGCATCATGCTCTTCAGTATAACAGGATATCACAAATATTTTCAAGAGATCCAATGCATACTGACTCGCCTTTTCACTAAATAGTAACATTGTATTGTTCTTAGTTTATCATACTTGCACTCTGACAAGAAACTCTTTAGATGTCTGTATTTAGTGAATCCATAACCAGGGTGTGCTTTAAGATCAGACAGCATAGTCAGTTCAGGGAAAGTTAAATCCAATATTAATGATGTCTTTTATTACAAAATGAAATATGAATGTTCAGCCCACAGAAGCCTACACACAACATAGCAACTTGGCTAACACAAGGCAGTAGAGCTTAATTTTATTGAAAATTCATAAAAAATAAAAAACTTAATTTTGTTTAAAATAAGGCAGGGCAAGGGCGGGAGGAAGGGATAGAGTTAATCTCACAAGAAATTATCCAGTTTACAGATATCCACAACACAGTGCAATATTCATCAGAGACCAACACTCCCCACCTACAACAAAAAAAAACAAGAAGAAGTTATCAAAGAGCCAGAAGCTCCAAAAAAACCATGAAAACCAACAGAGCCACATTGCTGATCTGGTCACATTGGGTAGCCAGCAGTAGAACAGTGCTAAACAGTTGTAAAGCTCAACAAGTTGAATGACACAGATTAGAAAGGAAAAAAAGTTGCAGTGGCCCAAAATCCTTACAAAAAAAATACCACAACTACAATTCCTTTTGTTTTAGAACAGTGTAGTAACAAGCTCAGACAACCACAGATCCTGCAAGCTGGCATACTAAAAAAACAAAGTATGCTATGTCTTTGGCACGCCCTTGTCCCCAGTAGGCCCCAAGTACTCATGCAGACACACGAAGTCTTACATGGCCAATCTGCAACCCTGAACTTCAAGTGAGTGGGAATCACAGCCTAAAACTTTACTGAAGGCAGTCATAAATGAGCAAAGTCTTCCACCCCTCTAACATGCCTTCCTTCTACTTTTTAATTACACCAACAATAGTCTTCTTTTTCATTCATAGCCTCTATCACCCCCAAAATTCATTTTCCCTATGCTTTCTATCTTCTCAGCTGTCTAGTAGCATTAAGTGTACATTTTATGCTTTATTTTATATTTTAATCATCCTAACTAATAATTCAATGTTTTAAAATTACTTAGGAATAGGCCTGATATCAAGCACATAAAAGTAAGCCTATGAGTATTAACTTTAAAAGAACTTTCCTATTCTTAATGCTTTTACATGTTTTTGCAATATTTGTATTTATAAATTTTAATTCTTTTATCAGAGTTGTTTTCAACTCTGACAAACAAAATAGCGCTGAAGCAAGACTAACAAATAATTTAGCCACTCTGC